AGGTGCCATGTGGTACAGAGACTGAGTGTTGGCTTCTCAAGAGGAGCTTGCAGTCTAGTTAGAGGGAGATGCATGCACAGTGAATAATTAGAGAACAAGAAAGCCTGTGAGAAGGTGCTGATCTGATGTGCAGATAGTAAGTGCTCTGGGAGGCAGGGCAGGACAGGTTGCTGTGGTGGGCAGCAAAGGCTTGAGGGAGAGGAGAAACCTGAACTGGTCTGTGAGAGGCTGGGAGGATATAAATAGCTGGTGGGCAGAGTGACCCAATGCTGGCAGATGGGAACAGTGGCCATCTTAACTAAGAGCCTTGGGTCGCATAGATAATAGTTTCCCAAAACAAAGCCCCTAGTGGAAAACAGGTAAGTCATGAGGGGGTTTGGAATCATGAGTTTGAAAGAGTCACACAATGTTTCCAAGATTAAAATCTATTGTAAGTGATAGCATGTGTGATAATACTGTATGTTCCTAGTCAAGTGGCATATTTCTTTGAGAAATATTTTTTTATCAAGAACAAATCTCTAAAATAGGCTTCTGTTGATCCAAATGAACTAGTTAGGTGAAGAAGATGAACTTTTCAAGATTCTTTAACCATCTGGCTGGCATGTTTAGAAATTACACCAAAATGTACTGATAAAAGGGTAGTTTCTACATTTGTGGTGTACCCTCTTATGCTTTAACACTGGGTTGTTTTCAGAGACGATGAAACAAAACTTTCATTCTAAGTAGGCTAACCAAACGTCTAGGTTTGCCTAGGGAGTCCCAGTTTATACTAGTAGTCCTAGCAAAATTATTAATAGCTTCCTCTTCAGTCTCAAAATTGTCTTGGTTTGGATGATAAATTATATGGCTACCCTAATTCTAAGTGATCCACTTTGGGCTTTTTTGCTTACTCTGTGAATCCTCACTGGCCCGCAGGGATGCTTTGGGTATTTGCCTACATGTGCATTCTACTTTTAAAAAAATGGTTGTATTTTTCTTCTGCATATAAAGCAATCATTGTAAAAACTTCAAAAGAAACAAAAATAGCATGAATAAGATAAAAGAGGTTACCCTAAACCCAGAAATAAGTGTAGATGCTTTGGTATATTTATAATATAACATAACATAATATAATGTTGTATTATATTAATATACTTTTAGATCCCCTTTTATATTGTATGTAACTAAGCAAGTTTACTTGGTGTGTCACCCCATATATACATATATGTTGTTTTTATGCAAATAACATAACATGCCTTCTACATTTGTCTGCCAACCGCACCCTCCCCGTGAGGTATTTTCATAAGTGCTGTATGCTAATTTTTTTTTTAAACAGCAGCATGTAAAAAAAATTGGCATAGTGGCACTTATGAAAATACCTTACAGGGGAGGGCACTGTTGGCAAACATAGAAGACCTGCGTTATATGCATAAAAATACGGTAGTTATGGATATAAACATATTACATAATATTATATATTTAGAAATATATAATAATATAGTCAGTAAATATATAGAGATAGAATCACTTTTTAAATCAGTTTTAAAGACTGCATAGTACTCTAATGAATACTTGTTCTTAAACTAAAATGTATTTTCTAATCCCCAATTTGGGGTGTTTAGGTTGTTTCATTTTTTAAAATATTATTAACAATGCTGTAGTGAGTATTTTGTGTAGCTAAATCTTTGTATACAACCATGTTTTTTTAATAATACATTCGTATAGATGAAATTGCTGAGTCAAAGGGAATATACATTTAAAATTTTGTAATTGGCACACTTTGCCAGCAGAGTGTGAGAATTCCCATTTCCTCACAGCCTTATCTGTGCTGTATTTAATCGTTTTCATCTTTCAGTTTGGTAGGAAAGAATTTCATCTCCTAGTTATTTCGGCTGTATGTCTGATTATTGATGATTTGTGTTTTCCTTTGTATATTACCCACTTTTCTATTAAAATGTTCATCTTTCTCTTATTGAATTGTGAAAGCTTTTTATATATTAAATAATCTTTTGTTTTGTAAGTTACAAGATTTTTTTCCCCATAATTTGCTATTTGTCTTTTAATTTTACTTATAGTGGATTCATTTGTGTGCATGTGTATGTGTGAATTCAGAACCCTTTATATTGTATGTAACTATGTCTCTCAGTCCTTTCCTTTATGGAGTTAAGTACTTTTCAACAAAATTTCACGGTCTTATCTGATGCTCTCAAAGCCCTTCAGCTCATTGTTTCAAACTTTACAAGGTGGGTATTGTAGATATTGTTGTTGTTAGGTGACATTGAGTCGATTCTGGCTCATAACAACCCTACGCACAACAGAATGAAACACTGCCAGGTCCTGCACCATCCTCACAATCGTTGCTATGCTTGAGCCCATTGTTACAGCCACTGTGTCAATCCATCTCATTAAGAGTCTTGCTCTTTTTTGCTGATCCTCTACTTTACCAAGCATGATGTGCTTCTCCAGGGACTGATCCCTCCTGATAGCATGTCCAAAGTATGTCAGATGTAGTCTAGCCATCCTTGCTTCTAAAGGGCATTCTGGTCATACTTCTTCCAAAACAGATTTGTTTGTTCTTTTTGCAGTCCATGGTGTATTCACTATTCTTCTCCAACACCATAATTCAAAGGCGTCAGTTCTTCTTCAGTCTTCCTTATTCATCGTCTAGCTTTCACATGCATATTAGGCGATTGAAAACACCGTGGCTTGAGTCAGGCGCACCTTAATCTTCAAGGTGACACGTTTGCTTTTCCATACTTTAAAGAAGTCTTTTGCAGCAGATTTCCCCAATGCAATGCATCTTTTGATTTCTTGACTGCTGCTTCCATGAGTGTTGATTGTGGATCCAAGTAAAATGAAATCCTTGACAACTTCAATCTCTTCTCCATTTATCATGATGTTGCTTACTTGTCCAGTTGTGAGGATTTTTGTTTTCTTTATGTTGTGGTATAATCCATACTGAAGGCTGTAGTCTTTGATCTTCATCAGTAAGTGCTTCAAATCCCCTTTACTTTCATCAAGCAAGGTTGTGTTATCTGCATAACACAGGTTGTTAATGAGTCTTCCTCCAATCCTGATGCTGCATGCTTCTTCATATAGTCCAGCTTCTCGGATTATTTGCTCAGCATACAGATTAAGTATGGTGAAAGAATACAACCGTGACGCACACCTTTCCTGACTTTAAACCATGCAATATCCTCTTGTTCTGCTCGAACGACTGCCTCTTGATCTATGTACAGGTTCCTCATGAGCACAATTAAGTGTTCTGGAATTCCCATTCTTCACAATGTTATCCATAATTTGTTATGATCCACACAGTTGAATGCCTTTGCATAGTTGATAAAACAAAGGTAAACATCTTTCTGGTATTCTCTGATTTCAGCCAGGATCCATCTGACATCAGCAATGATATCCCTTGTTCCATGTCCTCTTCTGAATCCGGCTTGAACTCTGGCAGTTCCCTGTCGATATACTGCTGCAGCCGCCCTTGTATGATCTTAAGCAAAATTTTACTTGCATATGATATTGTTTGATAATTTCCACATTGTGTTGGATCACCTTTCTTGGGAATGGGTATTGTAGATTGATGAGGCATAATTTTTATTTCCATTTTTATACTTCAGAATATCTCAGAAGAGGGTTTACACTTTACAAATTCACAGATAAGTCACTGCAAGTAAGAACTGGTGATATGTAGTCTTTTCTTCTACCACAAAGCATGGATGCCTCCCTTCATGAAAAGCTATAATGGGAGTTGGAAGGGATGAATTTGTTTAGATTTTTTTTTACAGAGTGAATCATATGGTCCCATTGATACACTTTTTAATTGCAATGATGTGTTCTCAGGAAAACTGTGACACCCACCCAAGGTTCTAATACACAGTAAGGGAAATGCTACAGCCAGTCATATTCCCCTAAAGCAGGCAGCTCTCCATGGAATGGTGTCCCTAGGCTTCATGGCAGAGTTACTGTACTGTGGTAAGGAGGGCAGCCCAGGCAAATGCATAGTCTGGTTCTAGCTAGGACCTTTGTGTGAAAGCTGTATCTGGGCTTCTAAGCTGGTATGCTGTGTTGAACCACATATGAGCCTCAAAGACTCCTTCTCCATCTTTAAAGTTAGACCTGAGCATCTTGCTATCTTCTTGATCCTCCCCTGTGCCTGTTTGGCCCTCTCAATATTTATACTAGGGGGTAGGGAGAGAAGAGACTCCTCCCACCACTTATGTGCCTTATGGTAGGCCATTTGGTTATCCTCAAGCACACCCACCACTTCCATCAGAGTCTCTCCTTCCTGTGGGGTGAGGGAGGGGAGGTCTTGAGCACCATGGAGGGTTGAGTGTAAGATCAGTGATTACTACCACCATGATGCTATCTCCCTTCTTGGCTTTCAGAGATTTTTACCCCTGCTACTTAGCAGTGGGGACTCCAAGCCCAGCCCAGGTACAGTCCCAGGGTGCCAAACTGCACCAACTGACAACATCTCAGGAGAGCCCCACCATGGATGGGATGGAGATGGGAACCAAGGCCCTGTATCAGTAGGTCTTTACTCCTCTGGTTTTGACAAGAAATAATGTCACAAACAATAAATATAATAACTGGAATAACCTGCTTGTATTAGTAGGGAACCAGGTTTATAATGCAAATCCAGGGCCAGACCAGAGTTTGAAAATAGTCTTTACTATGGATCCACCCTATTAATGGGTGCAGTGGCACCCTCCCCAGGTGCCATATTTCTATATGAAATGAATCAGTAGTTCCAACAATTTGGGTAAGATATAATAATTTTCCTTCTGTCTATTGAGTGCCATTTGTTCTCCCTCTCCTTATTCTCCTGTTCAGTATAACAAAAACCAAAGAACTAATTTGACTACAACACTCCTTGGAGTACTGAGGAGGGAGAGAAGTCAAATATGAACAAAGCCCAAACCCTCTTTGATGGTTAAGGCTCATTTGTAAGTAATTTTAGCCTTGTTATCTATTTAATAATCACACATCCTTCCCACTGGGTATTGGCAGCATGTAGATGGCGACCGCATATGAGGAGACTCCCTGTTCCCAAACGCCCTTTGATTTCTCAAGGATCTATGAAGTGGGGAAACCAGTTATAATAAAGGAATTACAGGCACATGCGAAGACCAAGACATGCCCAAAGTAATTTTTTCTCTGTTTGAGGGCTGGGGAGGGAGCAGTGGAGTAGAACAACTTCTTCTACCAATTTATTCATTCAGAAAATATTTACTAGTTCTCCTCTGTGGCAGGCACTACCAGAGAGGTGGGAAAGAGAAGTCCTGGACACATGATATGTCTTGATTTTGCAATGGAATTTCACAAAAGTCACCAGTGACATCTGTAGTAGGCTGAATGCTGATTCTCAAAGATATTGGATTCTAATCCCCGGAACCTGTGAATGTTACCTTATAATGATAAAGTCTTTGCAGATGTGATGAAGGTAAGGCTTTGAGACGGGGAGATAATCCGAGTGGGTTGATACATACCACAATGGAGTACTATGTAGTACTCTATGTGATTGAACTACTGCTGTAAGGGACCAACATGCATGCATCCTACATACATAATGTGGAGCGTAAGAAGCAATACACAACATATGATTTTATTTTAAAATTCAAAAATGAGCAAAACTAAACTATAAACTATAAAATAGAGTTTATATTTGTACAGCACATATAGATGAGGAAATGACAAAAGTAAGGAAGTGATTATTAGAAAAGTAGAGAGTAGTGGTTGCTTCTGGGGGAGGGTAGGAGTCGGGGACATGTGGGGGTGGGGGGGTTGGGAAGGACTTCTGTGGTACTTGGAGATATTCTATTTCTTAATGGAGAAGGTGGCTCACAAGTGTTTGCTTTGTGATTGTTCATTATACTTCATATTTGTTTTGAATACTTTAAGAGTATTATATTCCACAATTTAAACAGATTTTAAAAAAAGATAGATAACACTTGTAAAATGTTTGGCATAGTGCCTGGCCCATATTAAGAGCTAAACAGATGGCAATTTTACTTACTGGTATAGCCCAATAGTTAGAGCCACATTGTATCCTAAGCAGCCTTCTGGCTCCTAATCTGAGCTCTAGTCTCCATGAGGCCTGGCTTTGGGGATGAGATACCTGACTCCTCTCTTTGCCAGGGTAAACTAAACCAACCAAATCCGTTGCCGTCGAGTTGATTCCGACTCATGGCAACTCCATGTGTTACAGAGTAGAACTCCATAGGGTCTTCTTGGCTGTAATCTTTATAGAAACTTTCTTCTATGGTGCCCCTGGGTGGATTTGAACTGCCAAGCTTTAGGTTAGTAGTCAACCACAAACCATTTGCACCACCCAGGGACCTTAAACGCCGTTATTTAACACAGCATTTTTCAACTGATAATATGGTGGTTTACTTGCACTGCTTCAAACTCTTCCCAAATGTGCTGCCAAATATTGGTCAACGTGTAAAACTTTTTTCCCCAGCTGAGTATCTCTGTCATTATGCAACTCTGGAAAGCTAGATTGCTAAACTGAGTACTACATGATGTGTCACAGAGCTAGAGTCTACCCTGCTGCAAGTCAGAGGTCAATGGTTGGAGGTGGAACCCAGTGGCAAGGTGGTGCCAAAGAAATAGGAACATGTGAGAACTTGGCCTTCTGAGTTTGAAAGAGAGTGTTTATCAGGGAAGTAAAGTCACACCCAGAGAGTCATGGTACAGAAGGGAACCAGGTGAATCTCAGCGTAACTGTGGATACCAATTAAACCCTTCAAGTGTATAGCCAAAATTCTAGTATTCCACAGAAAGGTTGATAATAACTGACTAAAGATAATCTGAGAATGTCTCTATTCCTTGCAAGCCTAATGATGGAATTGCCATTGCATAGTTATGGGAAATATTATGTATAATAGTGTTATCAAGTGACTTGTGTCCCCTGAAAAGAAATGTTAAGTCCTAACCCCTGTATGGTACTTATAAATATTTACCTGTAAATATGACCCTGTTTGGAAATAGGAGTTTTATTTTGTTATGTTAGTGAGTCATGCCAGAGTAGGCTGGGTCCTAAAGCTAACCACTCCTTAGTGGTATCTTACAAAAAGAACAGACTAGACACAGACACACACAGAGGGGAAAACATATACCACATGAGAATCTGTCTACAAGCAAAGGAATGCCAAAGATTGCAGGTACACATTGGAAACTAGGAGAGAGACCCACAGAATGAATTGACACAGCCGAGACCGTGATTTGGAATTTTAGCCTGTAGAACCGTGAGAAAATAAAGTTCTGTTCTGTAAAGCACCCACTTGTGGTATTTTTTGTTATGATAGCACTAGGTAACTAAGACAAATAGTTTATTATAATAATAGCTAATAATTATCAGGTGCTTATAATAAGCCCTACCCCTCGCCTGGCAGTTTGTTTGTTGTACCGTGGTGGTTTGTGTGTTGCTGTGATGCTAGAAGCTATGCCACTGTTATTTCAAATACCAGCTGGGTCACCCATGGTGGACAGGTTTCAGCGGAGCTTCCAGACTAAGACAGGCTAGGAGGAAGGACCTGGTGGTTTACTTCTGAAAATATTGGCCAGTGAAAACCTTGTAAATAACAGCAGAACACCGTCTGATATAGTGCTGGAAGATGAGCCTCTCAGGTTGGAAGATACTCAAAATACGAGTGGGGAAGAGCTGCCTTCTCAAAGTAGAGTCAACCTTAATATCATGGATGGAGTCAAGCTTTTGGGACCTTCATTTGCTGATGTGGCACGACTCAAAATAAGAAGAAACAGCTGCAAACATCCATTAATAATCAGAACATGGAATGTACGAAGTATGAATCTAGGAAAATTGGAAGTCATCAAAAATGAAATGGAATGTATAAAGATCAATATCCTAGGTATTAGTGAGCTGAAGTGGACTGATATTGGCCATTTTGAATTGGACAATCATATGGTCTACTATGCCGGGAGTGACAAATTTAAGAGGAATGACATCACATTCGTCCTCAAAAAGAACATTTCAAGATCTATCCTAAAGTACAACACTGTCAGTGATAGGATAATAGCCACACGCCTACAAGAAAGACCAGTTAACTCATCCCTTCAGGAGCAAGGGAGAATGAAGAGAACAGGATACAAGGAAAAGATTAGTCCGAAGGACTAAATGTCCACAGCTACCAAGGCCTCCACCCGACTGAGTCCAGTACAGCTAGATGGTGCCCGGCTACCACCACTGACTGCTCTGACCAGGATCACAACAGAGGGTTCTGGACAGAGCTGGAGAAGGATGTAGAGCATAATTCTAACTCACAAAAAAAAAAAAAGACCAGATTTACTGGCTTAAAGGAGACTGGAGAAACCCCGAGAGTATGGCCCCCAGACACCCTCTTAGCTCAGTGGTGAAGTTACCGCCGAGATTCACTGTTCAGCCTGGGAGTGTACAGCCCCATAAAACCAAATGAGACTGACGAGGTACAGGAGTCCAGTGACAAGGGCCAGAAAGCAGAGGGGGACAAGGAAGCTGGTGATAGGGAACCCAAGGTTGAGTAAGGATATTGTTGATGTGTTGTGAGATTGTTAACCATTGTGATAGGGCAACATTTGTAGTAACTGTTAAATGAGAAACTATTTTGTTCTGTAAGCCTTCATCTTAAGTGAGAATAACAGACCAATTTGAAGAGCGTAGTCAGTGTCACTGAACTGTGCATGTAGAAAGTTTTGAAATGGTGTATCTTTGGCTATGTGTATTTTCACCAAACAAAAAAAGAGGTTGAGAAGTTAGAGGGTTGATGTGTTGTGGGGTTGTTAACCAATGTTATAAAACAACATGTGTACTTCTGTTTCATGAGAAACTATTTGTTCTGTAAGGTTCACCTGAAGTACAATAAAATAAAGAAAGAAAGAAAGACCAGTTAATATGACTATTATTCAAATTTATGTACCGACTACTTACGCCAAAGATTGAGAAATTGAAGATTTTTACCAACTTCTGCAATCTGGAATTGATCATACATGCAATCAAGATGTGTTGATAATCACTGGAGATTGGAATGTGAATGTTGGAAACAAAGAAGGGTTGGTAGTTGGAAAATATGACATTGGTAATAGAAATGACGCCAGAGATTGCATGACAGAATTTTGCAAGGCCAACGCCTTCTTCATTGCAAATAACATTTTTCACAACTTAGACAGTGACTATACATTTGGACCTCATCAGATGGAATACACAGGAATCAAATCGACTACATCTATGGAAAGAGACGATGGAAAAGCTCAATATCATCAGTTAGAACAAGGCCAGAAGCCGACTGCAGAGCAGACCATCAATTGCTCATATGTAAGTTCTGGCTGAAGCTGAAGAAAATTAAAACAAGTCCACGAGAGCCAAAGTAAGACCTTGAATATATTCCGCCTGAATTTAGAGACCATCTTAAGAATGGATTTGACTCATTAAACACTAATGACCGAAGACCAGACAAGTTGTGGAATGACATCAAGGACATCTTACATGAAGAAAGCAAGAGGTCATTAAAAAGACAGGAAAGAAAGAAAAGACCAAAATGGATGTCAGAAGAGACTCTGAAAGTTGCTTTTGACCATAGAGCAGCTAAAGTGAATGGAAGAAATGATGAAGTAAAAGAGCTGAACACAAGATTTCAAAGGACAGCTTGAGAAGACAAAGTAAAGTATTATAATGAAATGTGCAAAGACCTGGAGTTAGAAAACCAAAAAGGAAGAATATGCTTGGCATTTCTCAAGCTGAAAGAACTGAAGAAAAAATTCAAGCCTTGAATTGCAGTGTTGAAGGATTCTTTGGGCTAAATATTGAATGATGCAGGAAGCATCAAAAGAAGATGGAAGGAATGCACAGTCACTGTACCAAAAAGAACTGGTTGATGTTTAACCATTTCAGGAGGTAGCATATGATCAAGAACCGATGGTACTGAAGGAAGAGGTCCAAGCTGCACTGAAGGCATTGGCAAAAAAAAAAAAAAAAAAAAAGGCTCCAGGAATTGATGGAATACCAGTTGAGATATTTCAGCAAGTGGATGCAGCACTCGAGGTGCTCACTCATCTGTGCCAAGAAATTTCAAAAACAGCTACCTGGCTAACCAGTGGGAAGAGAACCATATTTGTGCCCTTTACAAAGAAAAGTGATCTAACAGAATGCGGAAATTATCAAACAATATCACTAATATCACATGCAAGTAAAATTTTGCTGAAGATCATTCAAAACCAGCTGCAGCAGTACACCAATAGGGAACTGCCAGAAATCCAAGCCAAATTCAGAAGAGGACGTGGAACGAACGGTATCATTGCTGATGTCAGATGGATCCTGGCTGAAAGCAGAGAATACCAGAAAGATGTTTACCTGTGTTTTACCGACTATGCAAAGGCATTGGACTGTGTGGATCATAACCAATTATGGATAGCGTTGGAAAGGATGAGAATTCCAGAACACTTAAT